ACCATAAGCCAGCAGTGTGCCCAGGTGGCCAAGAACACCCATGGCCTCCTGGCTTGTATCAGAAATAGTGTTGTCAGCAGGAGCAGGGAGGTGTACTCAGCTCTGGTGAGGTTGCACCTCAAATACTGTGTTCAATTTGGGGCTCTTTGTAGAATCATAGAATAATAGGATGGCCTGGGTTGTAAAAGACCTCAAAGATCATCTAGTTTCAGCCCTCATCCTATGGGCAGGGTTACCAACCTAGGCTGCCCAGAGCCACATCCAGGTCTTCACTGCATGAGGCTCTTCACTATAAGAAAGACATGGAGGCCCTGGAACATGTCCAGAGAAGGACATCTAAGCTGGTGAGAGGTTTGGAGAATAAGCCCTATGAGGAGCAGCTGAGAGAACTGAGATTATTTAGTCTATAGAAATGAAGGCTCAGGGGAGATCTTATTGCTCTCTACAGCTGTATGAAAGGAGGTTGAGGCGAGATGGGAGTCAATCTCCTGTTTCATGTAATTAGCAATAGACTTGAGGGAATGGCCTCAAGTTTCACCAGGGGAGATTCAGGTTGGACACTTGGAGAAACTCCTGGGTGCCCAGAGAAGTGGTGAAGTCACCATTCCAAAGATGTTTAAGAAACAGATGTGGTGCTTAGAGACATGATTAGTGGGCATGGCAGTGATGGGTTGACAGTTGGGCTAGATTATCTTAGTGACCTTTTCCAGCCCTAATGATTCTGTGAGTCTATGAAAAGGTATTATAGCAGAGTGCAATGAGCCTCATTTCTGGTCTTTGCAGTTTGTGGAGTTTTAACTGCTTGAGTGTGGTAAGCCCTGGGAGAATACGTAGTAACTTTATTTACTCTGTAATCACTGAGCAAATAAGCTGTATTTATTCATAAATCAGGTTTGATCTAGGCAGCTAAGTGTAAGAGAATATAGGAGGGAAAAGTTACTGACTATATTTTTTCTATGCCCTTGGGTTTGTCTTTTTCACAGAGTCACAGAATGTTTAAGATTGAAAGGGAACTCTGGAGGTCATCTGGTCCAACCACCTGCTCAACAAGCATGGACACCCAGAGTGGGGCCACCTAGAGCACATCCAGTTGTTTTGTTTTGTTTTGTTTCATTCTTAAGGGTACCCAGTTGTAAATATTACCATATTTTTCAGTTATTTTTAATAGACAATGAGATATATAGTTCCTTCCTCTTCAACATGTTAGCCGCTTCTGGAAGGAATATGCTGTTCCCTAGAAATGAACAGCATAGTTTAATCTTCTGGCATTCTGTCAACACCCTACAAAAGAGTATTTCTGAAATCATTTGTTACATTGAGCACTAACAGTTCTGAAGTGTCAAAAGTTTCCTTTTCTAATTCTCTGGCTAATTCTTATAAGTGAAAGATGTCTTTTCTGAACCAACGCTTGCATTACTCCTTCTCAAACCCACCCAAGTACAGGTAATATAAGAACATCTTGCTCATCTTTTCTGTCCTTCAATCTTGTACTGCCATTCAGAATATAAGAGGATAACCTAGTGCTGTGAATGAACTAGGATGAACTGCACAACTCACAGTTTAGCAAAACTAATTAGTATAGTCTTATCTTGTGAAGAATTGTTTTGCTGTTGTGAAATGAATGCTCTTAGATACTAGAAAGGTTACTTTCAGGTCTCAGTACCTCTTTGCATACTGAAAGTTATTTCATTTAGATATGAGGAAAAGAAAGGAAGAATAGAAAGTATGTCCAAGTCTAGCTGCAAGAGTAGTTGAACAAAACTCAGTGTGGCACTGAGTGAAAGAGTTTAGTTCCAGGTTTTAAAGGAACTACAATTATCCCATCTGAAGTAGTAGTATGAGGAAACCAAGGCTGCACGTCAAGAAGCAAAGGTGTGTCATTAGCCGACTTTACTTGGCTGATGTGCATTCCAAACAACATATTTAGAAGCCCAGTCACAGTTTACATGTTGAGATTTTATTTTAGTTTTCCAGGATTCTTTTTTTCCTGATACACTGACAGTGTCCCTAAGTCTCCTCAGGCAATGTGTATATATTAGATATGCCAGAATTTTTCACAAGCAGGAAAATGGTATTAGTTGTTGCAGGTTTAAGTTTAACTACAGCGCTAAACTCAAGTTTTATCAAACTACAGGGGGTTTTCGTTTTGTCTTAATAAGGAGAATTGTCTGTTTCTTCAAATTGTATACAAAAATGACAATAATAATAACCTGGCACCTGCAGCATTCTTTCAGTGCCTTGATGTCTAAATGCTTGTTAAGCTGCTAATTTACAAACAAAGAAGCCTAAACTCAGAGTGTTTAAGAAAGATTCTCAAGACAAAAATGTTCCCAAACACAGAACAAAACAATTCAGCCTGTACCTCTTTCCCTAAGCCATGTTTTTTTCAGCCTATGTTAATTTTCAATTTTGTGTAATTTAACACTGGTTTTAAATTACTAATTTCAGTATGAGAATTAAGAAGCAAGCATCCTCAAAGTGACTTGAATCCTACACACATTTTATTATCAATGTCTTAATTATTTCTGTATCTTTTCTTCTATAGAGAGCCTGACTATACAGTCAAAATATTAGTCACCAGATAAACGCAGATAATAAAGACTGTTGCTTTTACTGTTAGAGTATGTAGCAGGACTGAACAGCTTCAACTTTTGGTATTCTCTTTATCTGACAATACTTTTTCCTTATTTTCATTATGCAGTGAATGCTTGTATTAATTGTGATGGCATTCTAACAAGAGCTCAGTCCAGTTGTTTTTTTTTTCTCTTTTTTTATCTGTCACCCTAAAAAAGGATTCCAAGTAGGAAAAGAAATACTTTTTTTTTTTTTTTAATGTTACAGAATTTTGTGTACAAATCCAATGCTACAAATGTCTGTTTGTCTAAAGTATATGCTTGTGTTAACGAACATTATATGTCCTACATGTACATCTCTAAAACTGCACATATGCTAATAAATAAGCAGTGTACGACAGTGAATACACTTACGCATTTCTCTTCTTTGAATTATTTTAATCTTGCATTTTGGATTTAATATCATAAAATGCAATAGCTCTTCCTTTAAAAATATTGTCTGGGAAAGAAAGAAGGCCTGCAGTGAGCACAGATGGATTTTTCCATCTGCTGAGAACTATCAGCCTTTACAATAAGGTAGATCTGACACTGCGATTTCTTGTATCTTTGAAAAGTTTCATTTACTTCTGCTGATGTCTTCTTACTTACTATTTAAAAAAAAATAATAATAATTCATTACATCCGCAGTAATGCTATCCATTGCTATCAGACTGGAATGGCTATATATTTCTTTAATTCCTTTATTTCTCTCAGTTTCTCACAATTCAAAAAATTATGTTATTTGACCCCATAGCAAGGCCTTGGACCTAAAATAAATGATCCATCATCTTTCTCCTCTGTTTAAATCATTGATATAATCACCATTTATATTAATGTTAACACAGGCTTTTTGAATGATAAGCTTTTGCTCATATTTTGCTGACTTTGTTCTAAAAGTTCTCGTGGAAACCTCTCTAGAAAATTTTCTCTCTTTCTCACTTTATTAAATGCTGAGTTCCTTGCAAATAACTTTTTTCACTAATGGACCTGAAAAGACACAAACACTCAAGGACCATGAGTTCTCCCTTCTGTTCCTAATTTGTTTTTCAGGAAATCCATGCTGAGAACAGGCTCTGATTTGACTGGTTGGAATACACTTGCAGTACGATAGTCTTCTTTTTGGTATATAGCCTTTAGTATATATTATGGCTTCTGTTCTGAAGTTGACAGGCATTGGAAGACTGAAGTTTATTTTTACAAAACTAATGAAAGGAGCCAAAAACAAAATCATATTAGTTGTTTTTTAGTGTTTTATCTCCACTGATGATCAGATTTTTTTTGAACCTGAAACTGAACTGAACTGAAAAGCATGAGCTTAGATATATACAGCTACAGTTAGTTTATATAGTATAGTAATAATTAGTATATAAATATGCTGCAGTGTACTACTAGTCATATTTGTGTTAACTGTAAGTAGGAGGCAGCAGTGAGACACTTCTGACAAAAGTGCCACCTATTCCACGGTGCAGCAGAAGTTATCCCTGAATATTCCATTCCTCTATAGTACTGTGAAACCATTTAGTCTACAGATCTCTTTATTTGTCTTGTGTTCTTTTGTTGATACGGGAATCATGTTGATATTTTTCAACAATAAACAACCAGACAAGCTTAAAAAAAAAAAAGAAAGCTCCAAAATGACATATATGCTCTAATAGCCCAGCACCCCAATTTCATACCAATTTTGTTTTTCTTTCTGACCCACTCCTTCTGTTTAAAGAATAAAAAAATTTCACAATATAGTGCCAGATTTGAGTCCACTATCACAGACGTGTGATCTGCACAGTGGCAGACCCAACTGTTATTAAAGGTCCCGTGGCTGTATGACCCTTTGAGCTAAATTTATCACAGATGTTTTTTCCACCCTTTGAGGTTAACTTTTATGATTCTGCTGAACTCTTACAAAAGCTCCTATGTTAACCAGTAGATGGTATTTGAAAGATGGATGCCAAAAAACATGAAGAACAGAGTGCTTAGCATGAAACCTTATTAACATTCCTTCTGCTGCTGTGGAGCACTTTATGTGCAGATGACTAGCACAAGCCTCCAGGGCAGTCAGGATCTTTCCTGTTGATATACAGTGTAGTTTGTAAATGCATTTTATTGTACTGCTAGAAAGTGCAAAGGTTCCAGAGAGCTTTACACACTTTACACACATTTTTGTTTGATGAATGGTTTGATATTTTAATGCAGGACCTGTTCATCATGTTTTCCTTCTATTTGTCAAGTCTATATACATTTTAAGAGTAAAATTTTTACTGCTTTCTTTCATTATTAATCAAGCTGCATTACTGTAAAAAGTAATACGCTTCAGAACTTCTAAACACTTTACAAAGGAATGGCTATTATGCATGTAACCACTTGTTGAGCAATAACTCTGCTCTTTCAATTAAAAAATATACATATAACATTGGATAGGAAATTCAGAGGAAATTCAAAATGTATAATTTGTCTGTTCACTGCTTAGTTCTCTGCATTTTCATTTTTTTCTCTTTTACCACTGAAATTGTCAAATTACAATAATATTATAATTACAAAACTCTCAAGCCTCTATGGTAAGTTTTTGGCTAGATATTAAAAATGCAAGCTTAGCCATTTGTCATGCATAACAATTAATGTACTTAGTATAACAGGAAAATATCTCCTTCTGCAGTACATGAGAGAGTTCTTCAACCAGGGTATTTTGTCCTTCACCAGTTACTAACAGTAGCTGTCTGTACGTGTGTTTGACTTTAACAGTCAAGAAGGAATTTTTTTTTTACTGAAGTTCCCCACAGTGTTTTGAATTTCTTTCAGGACAAAATGCTTTCTGGTTTGTGAAGTTAAACAACAGTACTTACACGGTATACAGTAGAGGCAAGGGTTAGCAGGAAAAGAAAGGGAAGAATTATACTTTTAGGTAAGACTTTGGGTTAACTTGGAATGAAAGATCTTTGTTCCTTTCTTTACCCCGCAGAGATTAATTTATCTAGCAAGTCTCTAAATGGAAATTCCCTGCAAGCTCACAAGCATTACTGTACCTTACATTCGTCTTTTCCTTTCATTCTTTGTCCATCAGCATTGTTCTTTTTTTTTTTTTTTTAATGTGATTGACCTTTAAACCTGTTGTTATCAGCCTGCAAGAAAGAGATAGAGACTCTTTTCAGCTGCCTTGTTTCCCATGTGACCTACAGGGAGAATAGATTCAAAATAGACTAGTTCCTCCCAGGGCAATACAAGGCAGAAGAGAAAAGCACTGTCATTTCCGAACAGCACAGTGCTAGAGTAAATTCAGTGTGAAAAAGGAAGGAGTTGCAGCGTGTCAGAATTCTTCCTCTGGAGCTTGGATTATTACAGGAAAAGCATGTGAAGGATTTTTAAGGAGAGGATTTTAAAAAACACTTTGAAATGGAGTACTTGGAGCACTATAAGGACAACTGATGTTTGAATGCTAGCAAGACTGGAGGAATTTTTCCAAAATGAGCATTGTTATGAAGCCAAGATCCCGGTCTACCAGCTCCTTAAGGACTGTCGAGACAATGTGGTAACGTGTTTGGCTTTTTTTCTTTCAAGTTTTCTTTCCTAATATGGGGACACAGACCTGCCTGAGGAAATTCACAGGGTTTGATTTTGATCTGATAGGTTTTGCATAGTTATCAAAGTTGTTCAGCTATTTCACAGTTAATAGTAAGGAAAAAAAAAATATGTAGTTTGTTTGTACAATACTGCGTGTGTAGTATTTTTTAATGAGAGGAGTTACGTGGGTTTTTCCCATTTAGCAATCAGGTTCAGACCTTGCACTTACAGACGCTTTCTAAAAATCTTCAGTAATCTTCAGCAGCAAAGTTATTACAGTCAGCTTGCAGTTCTGGAGGCTGGAAAGCAGAACTAAGCTATAGTTTGCATGAGCTATTTTGAGAACCTTACATGTCATTTTGCTGCATAAATAGACCGACTGGTAGAGATAAGTGTCCTGGGAGGAGACAGTGGCATGAGCGAGAAACTGTGCTGTGTTATGGCTCACGCATTTCCCTGCATAGAGGCTCGGTGGAGTAAAACAGATTGTAATAGTGATCTGTGTGTGTGATTTTCTTGCTATTTGTTTCAGTTACCAATTGTCTTTAAGTAGATTTTTCTTATGCTTTGTATAGCATAGGGCAGACAGGACAATTTTCTATGAGGTATGTCATGGTTTTATGATTTTTGGTTATAGGTATTCCACATCATATAAAATATATATAAAATAAATTCAAATTTTTTCTTTCAGTATCTCCCACATTTTTTTTTCTTGATCTTTTTTTAATAAAACCATTGCCATTTTTGTAAACAAATAGCAGGCTAATTGTTCATTACTTCTTATCTGATACAAAACAAAGTATTTTAAAATACAGCCTTTGTTTAGACATCTGTCCCATGTTTACTGTGGGATAGAACAGTAACTACATTCCTTTCTGAGGAAATATGTTAAGTTAATATATTTTAAAATTAGCTGTTAGAGCATTATATTTCTGACAGTCCTGGAATTAAATAATTCCAGTACTGTTGTTAAAGCTGGTAACTTTTTCCAAGCTGCTTTTTTAACTGAGAACTGAAGCAACTGCAGGACTCCAGCTAAAGAATGCTCTCCCAGTTGTTCTCAGAAGCTGCTAAGGAAGAGTTCTGCTGAAGCAACTGCAATAAAAAGTGTTTCCTTATCTTTATTAAAATGTAGTAAAGTAATAATATGATGTCAGTGAACTGGATATGACTAAAGTGTTACACTGTGCCATCACATAAAAAATAGCGTCTGGAAGTGTCGCAATAAACTGTGTGTATCCAAGGTAGTGAGCTAAACTCTACGTACCATAATTATTACGTAAAGATAATGCAAATGAATCACTATCTTCCTGATTAACCTATCTTCCTTTCAATTATATCTTTTTTTGACTGCTGACTGCTCCTACTGAGTTGTGCAGGGAAAGAAAAACAAAATTCTTTCAAAAGGAAAAAGAGAAGTTTCTTCTGCTGTATGTGCAGGCCAGTATGACCACCAGGTACTGTCTAAAATAGCTGCCCGTGTCCTTTTTGCCAACGCCTTTAGCTAGCGCATTGATCTGGTGGGTGAGAATCCATTTTCTACTAACTGTGAATTGAGTGTCATTTCCTACCCTGCCATTTGGAAACATTACCTGAGGTCAGGATGTGTCTGACAGGGAGATCCTTGAATCTGTCTGGATGAGGTACATACTGTTCTCTGGCAGCGTGCGACTGAGCCACACAGGCTCTGCCTGCATGGAGGACTGGAGGAGGAGCAGGTGGGGAGGGAGGGAGGGAGCCCATAGCCCCTCCAGAGCCTCCTTGTGAGGAGCCAGCTGGTGGGCTGCGCAGGACTGGTCTCCAGCCACCTGCTGGAGTCAGCCTGGGGTATATGATCACCAGACCTGAGAGTCTATGAGTTTAGTTCTGTGGGTCGTGCCATTCCCAGTGTGTGATGGGACAGGATACCAATAAAATTGTAACAGTCTCACCATAATATAAAACTAAAGCAGTCAGTGAGATAAAGGCAGCTATGATTTTCTGGATTCTGGTGGATACTCAGGCTGGGAGGCAGGGAGGGCTGCAGCACATAATTCTCCTTATCTGTTAACACAGCAGGAGGAGCCGGGATAAGGAGAAATAGAAGACCACAAAAATAAATAAAAATCACAGTGGTTTCTTTGGAGCACAGGAATGAATCGAAGTGTTGTGCTATGAATATCCATCTTGGAATGGTTTGAGAGAAATGATCCTGGGATATTCGTACATGGCAGTTTCCCATTTGAATAATGTTCCCCTGAAGAACAGAATCCATGCTCCCAACATGCCTGTAAACCAGAGAGAGGATGGATGAAAGAGAATTCTCTATTCTCAATTCCCTGAAATCATATTGACCCTCCATCCAGAACAAGAACATTACCATATATGGTAAAAACATATACTTTTCTGTTAATATTTAAAAGCATCCAGAGGGTATCACCCACTGTTAGTGGGTGCACCAGCCTGCTCCAATGAGGCTGTGCTGATGTTCCACAGCAGGATCTGCAGACAAACCTGCATCTGGGACACCAGGGGAAACTTCACCAAGTATTGTAATGGCAGAAATAAATGTAGGCAGTTGCTTTTATGCAAAATAATGATGGAAGTGATTCATTTAAGAACGATTACTTAATAATTTAATATGGCTTTAATACCACTCATTGCTGACTTCAAGATGCAATTGGAAGTGCAGTTGTGAATGAGAACATTTCTGAATAACAATCTAGAACCAATAAGTGGCAGTACAGACTTCTCAGTGGCTGTTGTGCTCAGAAGTTGGATTTATCTTGCTGCTCCTGAGAAGAAATAACAACATAGTGTGGAAATTCACTCTAATTTAAAACCTTAGGAGAGAGTAGTAGATAAGAATTTAACAGTGTTTTCTTGACTATTTAACACTGCAGAGTGTAGGAGCAGTAGAATGACCATGTGTTGCACCAAAACACATATTTTACTTTCTAAGGTTTTTTTTTTATTATTTTTTGTTGGTTAGATTTCTTTGGTGATATTTTTTTAGTGCATAAATGTTCATTTGGAGGAACTGAAATATGGTTTTGAAAGCCTAGGAAAATCAAGCAAGTCAAGTAAGTAGCCAGGGGATCTGGACAGTAGCATATTGATCAGATATTAGAACTTCTCTACTTTTTCATTACATAGGTAATTAGTCAAAAGATCTAAAAAGTCTCAGTAAAATTGTCAGGTTTTACCACTGTTCTTTCTGCAGCATACCTGTTGCTTCTGGATTGGTAGTTATCTGTTTACTTTGTGGGTTAGCCTTTCTCTGTTCTTATTTTTTATAACATACGCCAATTCAAGCTTTCCTGGTTTTTGGATCTTACAGTTGCCTGATCTGCAAAGGGCACATACCAGCCTCCCTTCTGCCCTCAGAGCAGAGGCCTTGGTGATTCAGTCTGTGGTAATCTACAGAACATAATATATGTTCTTATTTAACCTGGTGGGTGGGTAGTACTGTTTGTCTCTGATATCAGGAAGTTTGGAAGACTGGGAATTGCTGAAGGTTGTTGGAGGAAGCTTCTCAGGCTATAATATGGAACAAAACATTTTGAATGAGCTTTTCCTCCTTGTACCTTTATATCAGAGATTCCAATAAAGGTTCTATCTAATGAAGACCAGAATATACTTGTGGCCTGACACCAGTGGACAGTGTTGTTTCTGGGGCAGAGGAACCACCATAGAATGATGAGATCCAGCAGTGCTGACCTGAGCTAGCCACAGTGGCTTCCCAGCCTAAACATAGCACAGAATTAGACCGTGCCATAGGCATATTCCAGTCTTTTGGTCTCCAAGCCTTGACGTGAGGAAGGGGTTATTCTATCATGCTGTTTACCCTCAAATAGTTCAAATCCGTGGTTATTGCTAGCTGCTCATTGCTAATATAGAGTTGATATTAGTCACAGAACTATAGAATTGCTCAGGTTGGAAAAGACCTTAAAGATCATCAAGTCCAACCATGACCTAATCATACTACCCCAACTCTAACAACCTTCTATTAAATCATGTTCCTGAGCACCACATCCAAACAGTTTTTAATCATGTTCCAGGATGATGACTCAACCACCTCCCTGGGGAGCCTATTCCAGTGCTTAACAACCCTTTCTGTAAAGAAGTTTTTCCTGATATCCAACCTAAACTTACCCTGGTGCAACTTGAGGCCATTTCCCCTCATCCTGTCACCAGTGAGAGGAGACCAGCCCCAGTCTTGCTGTAAGCTCGCTTCAGGTATTGGAAAAGAGCAATAAGATCTCCCCTCAGCCTCCTTTTCCCTAGACTAAACAGCCCCAGTTCCTTCAGTCTCTCCTCATAGGGCATACTTTCCAAGCCCTTCAGAAGCCTTGTTGCCCTTCTTTGGATCTGGATCTTTGGATCTAGCACCTCAATATCCTTTCTGTGTTGAGGTGCCCAAAACTGAACACAGTACTCGAGGTGAGGCCTCACCAGTGCCAAGTACAAGGACAGGATTACTTCCCTAGTCCTTCTTACCACACCATTCCTGATCCAAGCCAGGATGCCATTGGCCTTCTTGGCCACCTGGGCACACTGCTGGATCATATTCAGCTGACTGTCCATCAGTACACCAAGGTCCCTTTCCATCAGGCAGCTTTCCAGCCACACCTCCCCAAGCCTGTAGGGTTGCCTGGGGTTGTTGTGACCAAAATGCAGGACCCGACACTTGGCCCTACTGAAACTCATACAGTTTACCTTGGCTCATCGATCCAGTCTATCTAGATCCCCCTGTAGTGCCTTTCTCCCTTCAGGCAGATCAATACTCCCTCCCAACTTGGATGGCTTCCGTAATTGCTGACTTTCAGACTGGCAGTCCCAGTTTTGTGAAGATCAACAGCAAAAACAGGATATTCCTGAAGGATTATTTGTGTACAGGGCAGAGAAGAGTATATAAATGTTATTGTGAATTATATTAACAGCCTGTGCACCATTAGGATGTTGAAGAGATCGGGCTTTTGTATTCCT